GTTAATAGTATTTGATGGCATAGTGATCATTAGAAATAGTTACTTTAGTACTGATTAATAGGGTCTAAATCTATCAAAGGCAAAAACTATTTCTAGCAGCTCGTTATAAGTAATTATATAATTAATATGGGCATAACTTAGAGTTATACAAGCATAATAAATGATATGAAATTTCTTATCAAATCTTTTTCCTAAAACATCTCCAATGGCATAATAACTATCATCACACATCAATTCAAAATTATGAGACCATTGAGATGAAAAGATGATAGTTGTAGTAACTAAGTACCTCTTAAGTTTCTCAAATATAGTTAAACAATTAGAGTTGAAATCAAAAGGTTTATCTTTTTCTAGCAAATGGCTTAAAATTTTAGTATTATTTTAAAACATTTTAACGAAATGCCTATAAAATTTGATTTGACCTAAAAAAAACCATGAAATCCATTAATAGAAGTAGGTGGAAAATTCTTAATTTCTTGGATTTTCACCTTATTGACCTCCACACCCCTCTCAAATATTTTATGTCCGAGGACAATGCCTTCCTTCACCATGAATAGGCATTTTTCCCAATTCAACATAAGATTATTTTTCTCACATCTCTTTAAAACTAATCCTTAGTGATCTAAGAAGATGTTGAAAGTCATTCCAAAGACTAAAAATTATCCATGAAAATTTCAATGCCCTACTCTATTAAATAAAAGAAATTCAGCATCATACACTTTTGAAATGTTGTAGGGGAATTGCACAAACTTAAGGGCATATATCTAAATGCAAAGGTTCTATAAGAACTTGTGAATGTTGCTTATCATGATCTTCTTGGGCAATGGGAATTTGGTAATAACCAGAGTAGTCATATAAGAGAAAGGAACCCCAACTACTTTATTCTAGCATTTGATCCTTCCTAGTGGCTTTATTAAGCTTTATATAATAAATACAGATCCTCCACATGGTCATAATCATAGTAGGAATAAGTTCACTTTCCTTTTTTGACATGAAATTTAACCATTCTTTCATTGGAATATAGTGAATTGGGCTAACCCAATCATTTTCAGATATAGGATAAACATTACCTAGACCTAACCATTTTTGAATTTATTTTTTCACTATTTTTTTACCAACCATCTTTAAGTACATAGGCATCTTCTAACGAGATCTTATATATATAAATATATGGACTAATCCTCTAAATTTCATTGACCATCAAAATGCTCTCTTATATGAGCTCAACACTCTAATTAACTTATTTTTTCGATCTTTTGTAAGTTATGTATAAATAATGATATGTAAAGTTGACTCATCTCCTAAAAGGACATATTTTAAGTTATCATACAATACTTTATGTTCCAACTTAGAAACCTCTTCTATAAGGGGTCTCCAAGGTCTCCCTAGGGATGATGTATCTAGCACTTCAAATCTCTCCCTAAACATCATAGGGACTTCACTAATACCTTGGATAGAATCTCACTCGATCTCACATAAATCATCCTTACTTAATGATATATCCATCTAACTATCACACAATAATTTCTCCATAACTTCCTCTACACAAGAATAAATAGAATCCACTCTACAATATATAATCCTCACCCTTATCCTTAGGAAACTTCATAGAATTTTCATTACATTGAAAGTGACTTCCTGATCATATAAGAGCATCAGCGTTTTGTCATGTTGGTATAACTTTCCAGTAGGTCACCCATCCCAAATTACTCTGGGATGAGCATGCTTAACTATAGAGTTTCTTAATGAAATTCCAACCATTACACCAAAAAACACCTCAATATTTAAGAGTTTAACTTCTTTTAATTAAAGAGTTTCACATTTCCAACATCTGTCTCTCGCTAACTACAGTCCTTCTGACCTCTGTCGCTCGTTGATGAATGTCTTTTCAACCTCTGCCACCTGCCGACTACTTTCCTTCTGACTTTCTTCACTGATTATGGACCTTCCAGCCTCCATCATAAGTCAATGACCTTTCTGACCTTCTTATCCCAACGATAATGGTTTTTCCAACCTTCGTTGCTCGCTGACTATAATCCTTTCGACCTCCTTCACTGACCACGGTCCTTCAAACCTTCATCACCAGACAATGATCTTTCATAACTCCTTCGCCAACCTACTATGGTCCTTCTGAATTCATTCACCGACTACTTTTCTTTCGATCTCCGTTGCCAGATAACGATCATTCTGACCTCAGTAGCCCACCGACAATGGTCTTTCAAACCTCTCCATCTGCCGACTATGATTTTTCTGACCTGTTTCACTGACTATGGTCCTTCTAACATCTGTCGCTAGACAATGATATTTCTAACCTCCGTTGCTCACTGACAATGGTCTTTCCAACCTTCGTTGCCCACCGACTACCGTCCTTTCGACCTCCTTCACCGACTACAGTACTTCTGACCTCCTTCACTAAACAACGGTCTTTCTAAACTCTGTCGTCTGCTAACTACGATCCTTGTGACTTCCTTTAGCAACTACGGTCCTTCGAACCTCCTTTTCTAAAAAATGAACTTTCTGAGCTCTATCTCTCGCTAATAACGGTCATTCCAACCTCAATTACCTGTTGACTTTGATCCTTCTGACCTCCTTCACCAACTAGGTTCCTTCCAACCTTCGTGCTCTTTTTGACCTCCGTTGCCCGTCAACTACTGTCCTTTCAACCTCCTTCGTGGACTGCAATCCTTCCAACCTTTATAACTAGACAACGACCTTTTTGACCTCCATCGCCTGCCAACTACGGTCATTCCAACTACCTTCACCTACTACAATCCTTCCAACCACCATCGTAAGACAACAATTTTTTTGGCCTCCATAGCCCTCCGAAAATGGTCTTTTCAACCTCCATCGCTCGTCGACTACGGTCCTTCTGACCTTCTTCACTAGACAACGATCTTTCTGACCTCTATCGCTCGCTGACTACAGTCCTTTTGACCTCCTTCGCCAACTACAGACCTTCTAACCTCCATTGTCAGACAATAGTTTTTCTGGCCTCTATCATTATAGGACTATGGTCCTGCCGACACTACAGGAAAATCACCAATTTTTGGTTGCCTTTCTGGCAGAAATTGAACCTTTTCCAGTGGTTTAGTAGTTTCCCGGCGGTTTTCCACGCGGTTAATTTACCATCGGTAAAAATGGCGTAGGAAAATAAATTTCGGCTGTTTTTTACCGGCAACAACTTATTCCGGCGGATTTCCGGCGGTCAAAATATGTCGGTCAAATTAAAACAAATAAAAAAAATGTCACCGTGACGAGACCCCGCTCCCGAGCTGCCAACGACGAGACCCCGCGCTCCCCCGCTCCCGCGCGAGTGTGCGCCCGCGCCTGTATGCCTTGAGGATTCGAACTGGGCTTAGTTGGGATGAAACTCGGCTACCAACCGAATTGCTAATTGTCTAAATGTGTTTATAATATCAACATTAATTATTTAAACTATATTCTTACAGTAAATAAATAATTTTTTAATTATTAATTTAAAATAAAAAATTAACTACCTAATTAAATTTAAAATAAAAAATAATATTTAATATAAAATAAAAATGAATATAACTTTTAATAATTATAATGAATATTAATTAAATAGTTAATATAACTTTTAATAGTTATTTGTTAAATAATTTAAATAGTTTAAGTTTTTTTTAAAAAAAATTTTAAAAGCCGCCGGAAACGTTCCGAAAAGCCGCTAGAAATGTGGCCGCCGGAAATCAGTGATTTTCCTGTAGTGATGGAGGTGGTGGATTTGGAGCAGCAAAGGTTGCCATAAGAGGAACTAGAATTTGTGAAGTTGAGCTTTGAGAGTGAACAGAAGGAGAGCTTGTAGTTTTGGTGGAGGGCATAGGTGTTGGACCGGCAGAAGTCTGTCGACAAGGGAAAGTCTAGTGTCAAGTAGAAATTTGGTGCCCCTATATGTTATGTATTAAAAAAAAATCCTCATGATCATTAGGCTTATCCCAACTATATGGCCATAGCATTATGAATATACTACTCAATTATGATATATTTAAAATATAAGTAGAATAAGTTGACCAAATTTTTATTTAATATGAAATAATAGAAAATTATTTATAGGGTGCAAGGCAATTAAGCATCCTCGTACTAAAATAATAAAGAACAATAACGAATCCAATTATTTAAAAAAGAAATTGACACTTATATAATAATTTGTTCATATACTTT